TGAAAATTTTTAGCAACCTGTAGACCCATTTTTCACCCTCCCCATGCTCCGCACAGGCCTTGTACTTACCTGGCATGATGAAGAGGCTGCGTGGAGACTCCTAGGAGGGAAGAGGAGTACTGGGCGGGGCAGGACCAGTGGTCTTTGCAACAACCAGTTTGGCAAACCAGATGCAAATTAGCATCTGGTTCGCCCGAAATGGTGCGATCCAGCTGAATCCCACCCATGGCCCCAGCAGATATTTTGTGCCCATTAGGAAAGATTGGACCAGACCTTCACCTCCAATGATTGGATTAAAATTTACATTATCCTCCACCCAAAATTTAAGAACAGGACATGACCTTTTTAGGACATAATATGATTAACGCACATCCTTTTACCAAAAGATCTTTCATTGCACAATCCCCAAAACAGTTCCGTGTCAACTCTGAAGGTAGCCTGACTGAGGCCATCTTGGAGGTGTCAGTGGGGAATAGAGACAGCTGGGGTTTTGTACCCAAAACAAAATACTTTCCCCTGAGAACCAAGGACATTCCTACTGGTGGCTGAAGAGCACCTCAATTGGACATGTGGCTGATTGTTTGGAAAAAGGGGAGAAACTTTTACTTTTAATTAAACTGCGGGAACATTCAGAGTCGGTTTTCACCAACTTGTGCCAATATGGTATATCCAATAAGCGCATTCTTTGAGGAAACTGCTTGCCTCAGAGTTCTGTTCGCTATGGATGTATTACTTGGAACCCTGACATTCAAACTTCCAAGTCAAAAAAATATCCCAATTTCACAGTCATATGACTGCAGATGCTGCAACGAGTCATAAATGCAATTTATGGGCAATTGGAACTTCCAAGGACGGATCGTAAATACTTTTTTAAAAGTCCGTCGTAACTTCAAACCGTTGTTCAGCTGGTTGTAAGTTGAGAATCACTTGTACAGCGAGAGGCCAAATTGCAGGCAGCAGGTGGAGAGAGCAGAATTAGATCTCCTGCCCTTTGCTTACAGTCAAGTTTGCTGCATTTATTTATAGGACCAACTCCCAAACATAAAAATAAGCAACTTATTATTATCTCCTTCACTTTAGCAGCTAAAATAAGAATT